GTTGTAAACCTGCCATGCTAGCTTTTCTTCCTTCTGCATTTATTCTTTTGCCCAAAATAAAGGGGGTCCAGGCCGCTGGGCCCCTCCCCTAGATTTGCCACTGATCTGTACAGCAAACTTCAAAATGTGATAAGAACACCTATAACACATTTGTATTTGCTTATGTATGGCTTTTTGCTCTCACCACATTTTGAAGTCTTCTGCAATTGATTACTAAACAGATGGACAGCAAGTTGTCATGGACTCTATTTGTTTATTACTACTCACAGTAACTGTAACCATCCATCAAATCGTAGCTGTATGCTTAAATGATGCCTTAAAAAAAATAACCTGCCCATCTCCTTTGTACAGTTTATAACTAACAATAAACCTGGCGACAGAGACCAGCTGGTGGGTACCTGACATCAACATACCACATTTCCAGGGCCATTGAGAATTTGCCCTAGGTTGACTGGAGATTGAGCATCACAGATCACCTGCCTCACCACACTGCCACTGACTGTTCCTTCAGACTGTAACATCAAAATATAAAAAGTTTTATGTTATTAACTCCCTCATCACTGCTATCGGGTACCATGTAGAATTTTGGAAAGTAGTACAAATCTTCCAGGACAGAGTTGTTCAAAGGGTAGACAATGCTATCCAAGACATAAATCACTATCCAACCGATGGGTGTAAACAAAACATACTTGACCCTAACCTCCACATAAAGATTTATCTACTGTATAACATTATTCACCTTTCAAACAACTGGGGCCTGGGCTTTAAATGAAAAAAATTCGATGTAGGAATTCTAAGTAATGAAAGAATATTCTCCCTACCAAAATTTAACCATGGTCCTCTGCATGGTTGCTTGAGAATTCTCAAACTTCACTTCTAAATGAACACTTGTCTTTACCACCAACTTTCCATTCAAAATTGGCATTCAACACTTAAAGTAGCAATTAACCATGCAATTCCAATTTAAAATAACCCATATTACAGCTGAAGAATGTAAGACATATGGCAACTACAACACTAGAAAAAAATTTCAGTGAGGAGCAAAAAGGATTAAAACGAAAAACAAGGAATAAACCTTATTTAAGTAGTCACTTAACAATTCTCTCTACACATACCCTGAGACTATTTCGTATTCTCCACAAAAGCAGGGCCCAAAATAAGTTCCCTTGCTGGCTTTCACCAGGTGAGAGGAATGGAAAATAGCTGAGTGGATTTTGAGGCGGCCATGATAAAGAGTCTGGTGATAACATCATATATGGCTGAGCAAATTCTGCAATCTGGAAAGGAAAACATAATAAACGGTTAGTTATCAAATACTGCATTCCCTGTACCAAAGCTTTATATTTCTTATTTCCAAACCATGCACTGTTCTGGGCAACATGTTGTGGAGAGGGGCATTAAACTACAATTATAATATCTTCTGTGACTGTGACATCCTGAAACATGAAGCCAAGGTTAAATCCTTTGCACCCAAACAGAATCAGTATGCATATTCTCCATACTGTTCTCTATACATTTCCTATGGTGCTGATGAAGAGAATTTGTTTCATGATCAAGACCTGCTTTCATTGGTGATCATTTCATTTATTCTTATGGCCATGTTTGATTCAGGAGTAAAATTGCCAGGAAATTAGAAGTTTATCAATGTTAGGGGTATCAAAAAGGGTTCTAAAAGAGTATAGAGTTGAAAACTTTATGAAAAAGGAATTCTGACTGTACAAAGAATGAGGAGATTTTATGTTACTAGAAAGTTGTAAAAATTATCATCTGTCAGTGAATAGTTGTTTACACCTAAAATGTGCTGCAGTCTTAAGTTTGAGGAAGCTTCCAACAACAAGATATACACACTTACCTTTTGTACATTCACAGTGCTATTTAACAGCTCTGATATAACTCTTGGACTGAAGTTGGTCTTATTGTAAAGAAATTGCTGAAATTCAGCAGGATCCTTGAGTAACTGGTCAAGTGGGACAGCTATAAAAAAAAAAAGAAATAAAAATAATTAAAAAACATCAGGTCCAATATGGCATGTGAACTTCAACGACAATCTAATATATTGAAAACTCCTGAAGGTGGTGTGTTCCACATTAGATAACTTCTAACTTAAGTTAACTACATGAAGATGATAATTAAAATATATATATAATGGTAATTGAACTGAGTGCATGGAGTACAATTTAGCCTGAAATCAAACGCGTGATTTCAAAATCGAACTTGTGTGTGGCACGAGTTCAATTTGAAATCACAAGATGATTTCAGACCAAAATTGCACAACACGAGGTTCAATTACCACTTTATTGCATCCATTTTGAAATCACCGAAATACAGGACTTGGTCAATTCAAATAATTCACTGATGCCGCAGTACTGAGCCAGTTTTTAGACAAAAAGCAGAACCGGAAATGCTTTTACATCTTATTTTGTATGCAAAACAGAAAGACTTTGAAATCATGTGTCAAAAATTCAGTCAAGGGTAAAATGATGCAATTTAAAGAAAAAAATGGTGAGATTTGTGAATAAATCGCACTAATTAGAGCCAATCAGATTACAGGGACCACCAGTGATTTAAAAATGGATGTAATAAAAGTAATAACAAGTTTGATTCAAAAAAGGAAACACAGTTGTTATCACCACATTTGCAGAGTTATCCTTATCAGGTAGTAAACAGTTATAAATAAATTAATCCCATGTCGTACCTCTTATTACCATCTGAAATTGTTTGGATTTCTAGAAAATTCAACCGGTAAAATGACAACCCTACTAGTTTAAATTTTTTTTATCAGCTGGGGTACTTAAATGAGAAAGAACTTTGATTGTTATTATTACATTCAAGCAAAGATTGCTATTAAGACACATGGAACTTGACAGTCAAGTACTAAAAAATTTTCTTGATCAAGAACTTGTACATGACATACATTGTACTGCTGCAGGAAATTTTATTCAACATTGGTTTATCCCTCTGACCACCAAGATCTGACTGTAAATACTCCCCTCTACCTGCTACTCATTTTCTTTGTAAAGTAGTTTGAGAATTTGGTCTTAGATCAATACAATAACATTTACCAGATAAGTTTGAGTATTCTCATTACTTGTTTGCTGGATAATGTAGGGATATTATAGGGAGAAGTTAAACATGTTAATCACTTCTAGAAGTAAAAGGGTTGATACCTGATAGGTTATAGCCACGCCACTGTAGTTGCCTAGATTGCACTAAGTTATTCCAAGCGCGATAATCCCTCTCAAAATTGGCACGATCTGAGTTAATTCTGAGAATTCTTTCACGGATGGTATTGTTTGCCATTAGGGGGAGGGCATCCTCAATTAATCTACCCAAGCTGCAAATGAAGAAAACCCAGTCTTAACGGAATTAAGTAAAAACTTTGTTTGATGGTTATCTAGAAGCATCACTTAACTGTTTCAGAGGAAATACAACAAGTGAAGTCTACAAAACATGCAAACTTTTATCGCAACGACATATTAATTTAGAATATTAATTGCAAGCTTGTCTTTTATAGATGGACATAACATAATCAAAATACACTGTTCTCAACACATTCCAAATGGAGTTTTGGTAAGGTGGAAAGTCAGGCATTGCATGGGTATAGTCTTAAAAAATCCTGTTTACAAAAAGTACACACTGTGCACCTTATTGTTGGATGGTTTTACATATACCAGTTACACACACAGACATTTTGCTAGTTGCCTGGTATTTTTCCAGTCCCATGGGGGGGGGGGGGAGCACTGAGTAGAAGGATAATCATGAGTTAATCCTAAGGTATGCATTAACTGATATCAAACAATTGAACAAGCATCACACAAAAATGGTTCCTTGCCCCTAAATACATGTAAGTAATTGCCAGCCAAATTCCAGCCAGCTATAATCTCTCTTTTTACCAGCAAATATTCATTCATTAAGTAACTGCACACCAAACTGCGGCCAGCTATCACTTATTTCTACCAGCAAATTTTTGCCAATAGCTGGCCCTTTGCAACAGCCCTGCATGACCTGTCTTATTCTTAATAGATCTAAACCAAAACTTTTATGCCTGCCTGCCTACCTGGAACTTCTTAGATTTGGCAATCCATTCAACAGCTCACTGGGATCATTTGTTTTTGTGCTTTTAAAGTCGCACAGAAACGACCTTGCAAATGGGAAAATACCAGCTGATGGAAGGGCACGGGGTCTGTAAATACCTTTTAATTGAACAAGAAAGTTAAAGAAATGGAACAAGAACACCAAAAACATTCAAAGTTAACAAAACAGTTGAGAGTAACTACAAAGGTTGTTGTCCAAATTTTTTTCTTTGGACTTAATCTTCTTTGTCTAACAACAATAAAAAGCTCTGAAACAGGAAAAACAAATTACATGTCACATTTCAAATGATGACATTTTGGACAAGAATTTATTTGCCACAATCACAACTTCAACATAATGTAACACCAAGGCTGTGGTCTGGCAGTGCCTGGTGGCCCATGGGGCCTTACTTTTGCGCTTGGGTGACTCAGGAATTTTTGTTTTTTTTCAAACAAAGCATATACTAGGCACCCTGAATTTCACAGTTTCGATGCACTGGGCTTCATTCAATTTTCCTTAGAGCACAGCCTTGAACATTCTTGTTAAGTGAATTAATAATTATTATTAAAAAATCAGAACAGGCTATATTTACAATGACAAACAGACATTATTACACCAATTGTTTACTTACTATCAGGCATATTCGTGGCTCCATAATTTTTACGATTACGTATTGCAACCAGAATTATGAAGAGAACTAGTGGCCAAACAATTTCCACCAGATTTCTCAGCTGAAATCAGTAAAAAGTAGAATAATAAATTATTAAATATAACTTACAACTTAATTCTTGATTCACTCAACATAATTATAAGACATTACTGAAAAAATTAAAGGTAGTAATTATGGTGTGAGAAAAACAACAACTCACTCACAGTTCTTAGAAATTATTTGTGGCCAAAATCCCAGGTTGCATTTTTTGCCACATATAAATTCAAAGTTCTCAAAAAACACAACAATTAACACCATATTTAGATTACTTAAAATTGCATCACAGTTTCCTGAGTTTTTTTTCATCGGTTTTCTATTTGTGAAGATGACAAGATTTTACATAAAATTAAGGGGTTACATTTAATTTTATTTATCCCCTGTCCTATGAAAATCTTTCTAACACTTGTAGAACATTTATTCTTTCCGTGCACTGACACTTGAACATTTAAATCAGTGTCTAGCTGTCTAAATGCTCCCCTTTGTTATGATTTCACTTCCAGTGACTGCATGATCTGCAAATTATTTGTTGATGTATGCTTTGTAAAATATATATTGTCATTCATCATAAGGAAAGAGAAAAATCTTATTGTCAGGAGTGTCATGGTGTCTGTTTTTGATACAGTTAACAAGCCTCACCCCAAATAACTTAGACTTTAATCACAAAATATGCTGTGCTTTCTTAGTTGACACAGAACCAGTGAACCAAATCACTTGAAGAACACCATAAATATGCCACTGAATTGTCATGATCTACATCAAAATAGACTGTCCACCTTATCCTAGGTTTAAGTCAACATAGATATCATTCAGGCATTTCACAGAAGTATTGTCAGCTTTCAACAGTTTCAAGCCAAAAAGCATATTGACAGAAGAGGAAATTGAGCATTACTGTGAGGTTGGCCTACAAGTACATTGTAAAAGTGTGTCTTTCCGGTGAATATCTGGGTAACAATATTGGGCTGATCTTGGATAACTGTGATTTTGAACACATTTAAAGCATGAAACAAGTATTGTCATTGATAATTTCACTCTCAATATTTTGATAATCACGATAGAAATTGAAAAAAGGGTCCAATACCCACTGATGCGTTAATTGCAATTAGATGATGAAATAGTTTGATTTAAATAATCTTGGTCACCTGGATTAACTGAAAGAAAAGGTAACAGCAGGCTGTTCCAATCAATACTTTAAGTTATGTGTGTGCTAAGAAAATCAGATCAATAATAATGATACAGATAATACAAGTTGTGATATTGAAGTAGCTGAGAGTTAAGTTCACAAAATTCTAGTTTCAAGATAACTTTCCACATGGAAGAAACTAAGAAAACATCTTCAAAGTCAAGTATAACACATATCCATCAAACAGCTCCTTAAGGAGCCACCAATTTCATAGAAGTGAATAACCAATATTCAGAAGTTACTTTTGTTGTGTTTTATTACTTCTGCTTCACTCCTAACTTGCCTATAGTCAAGTTAGGAGTAAAGCAGAAGTAATAAAACACAAGCCGGGGGGTAAAGTTATTCAGCAACTGTGTATTTTTAAAATCTTAAACCCTCAGCTACAAGCCAAACACCATTCTTCGTGAAAAATCTCCCAGCATTTTGGGTCGAAAACTGAAAAAATTGCTCGGCTTATAAGTGAAGAAATACAGTTAGAATTTTTTTATCCTTTTGTTCCCAGGAAAGATCAAAACTGAATATCTTCTTACAACGCCAAGACAACTTCAAACAGAAAGATGACAAGAACTGGGACAAAATTATTATCATCTAGAGGACAATTTTTACTTTAATCAAACCAAATTCTCAAATCTAAAATTATAAGAGAGTGTACAACAAACTTTTCGCAAAATTAATATTTAAGAGGTGGCACTGAGTCTAAGCACAAGTTAGAACCACTCTTATCTGGAATCACTACAAAGAGATTCCCGCTACAGTTTTTGCAAAAAAAAAGTTCGGTCTGATACCACTGATTCATCCAAGATCTTACAACAATAACCCATGGCCATCCAGTCCTTTAAAGTAAAGATATATTCCAAAACAGAATAAGTACATATATTAAAAAAAAATTCATAAAAATTTCATAGACTAAATCTTAAGCACATTATACCAGTAAAAAAAAGTTCATGTAATGTTGTGGTCCAATCATTTCCTCAGAGATTTCAAACCTTTTAACATTTCATTTACCTCTGACTCAAATCTATTAATACCATAATCAAGGAAGAGGAGGAAACATTACTTTTAAATTTTTTAAACCCAAAAAAAATTTGGACCCTGACATAATAATTTTAGTTTGTTATTGTTAATAACTATTAATGTATTCGCATTGTGGGACTACAACGTAAACATTGTCAGTGTTAATTATATATACAACTGACTTTGTTTGTGATGTAGCAATGTCTGAGACAACTGCATTCCTGATGCAAGACTTCCATTAGATCATCTTACACATATATCTTTTTAGAGTATTTTTAAAGAGGAACATTAATGTAATATAGATCATCCACAAGAGTTCAGACAAGATCAAGATGTCTTCCACTTTAAGCAATTTCTTCAAGTGACGTCTGTTAATACATCTGACAAATTCTAGAATGAATAGTCTCCTTAAAAAGTTAGTAAATGTCTTATCATTTACACAAAAAAGTCATAGCCGACCATATTTCAGTCAGTCTTACAGAGTTTTGGGGCAAGAAATACTTTCAAAGAAACTTAAGTTCAATATCTACTTTTTTGTCTTTTCTCCCATCTTTCCGCTTTCACTCTCTCTTTCAGTTCCACAACAGGAAAGGACTTGAGTGACATCAGCAAGCAAGCTAATACTTAAAACATCAGCTGCCACATTAAGGACAAAAAGAAAAACTCAAAATGTACCTAAAACTGTTCATATTCCAAGAATTGATATAATAACCTTCATACAACTTTTTGGCTTTTACTGCACACTCCTTTATTTAAGATATAGCAAGGAAAGCTCTTGTCTCAACTTAAAGGACGGTTGAAGTGAGTTTATTATGAATATGTGGACAGCCATACCATAAGAGTGCCATGATAAAAAAAAATTGCAAGAATACTCAGTTGGTATTTTTACTTGCACTAGCATGTTGTTGTTGCTCTGTACAATCTGATCATCTTCCTTAAAAAAAGGCATCTTCTTTCAAATAAGGCCGGTTAACTAGTCTGTTTGTCAAAGTTGCAATTTTCTTGAAAGTGCCGGCCCTCGTCACAGCGAGTCGAAAATTTCCGCCTCAATTAGTCACTATGTCGTCCATTTCAAGTAACTAATTTGAACTCCACGAATTAAGTTAAAATCGACGAAATTATATGTATAAAATCTTAACCCTGAGTCGCTAAGCAATTGAGTGTAACGTTAAAACATTTCGCAGACAGAAAATCGAAAGCGGTGAAATAATACTGTCCAAATAGACGTCATTTGATACTCGGCTACGTCACCGATCTGAAATAAACGGTGCACGAGGAAAAAAAGTTCGATCCTTTACTCAGAAAGTGCGACTTCAAAGTGTAATTTTCCCTAATAAAGTATAAGATATGGACCGAATGACAATTACACTGATTCGTCGGTACAAAAGTTTCGTACATGTTGTAAACAAAGAGCTTTGATCTAATTGACAGAAATGTTGTAAACCGAAACAAGAGGGTTGCTAAAGGGAAAAACACAAAAAAATACTGGAACGTATCCTCATTTGACAACATCTTTCAGATTCTACAGTCATGTGTTCAAAATTGACTCGAAACGAGCTTATCACAGAAGTAAGGCAAGAGAGATAACCTGAGACTTTCTTACACAAAAGAGGACGATATTTTCTGACGAAACAAGAGCCCTAGGTAGCGAACGCAGGTACCTGCGGCGATCGGTAGTTTGCAAGGAACCCAGCTGCTCTGAAGAATAGAAGCTAAGCAAAAGGTTTAAAATTTTTCTCCCCGATAGGAACTTAACCATCCATTGACATCATATCCTCGATGTACAAAATACCAAGCGCACTATTAAACAGATTTCAAAAGGGCATATATTTCTGTTTAATAGTACTTACGTGCTGACGCTTTCGAAGCGCAAAGTTCTTCCAGACGAGTAATCTGAGTTGGTCCAAGAACTTCATTGTCAGACATTGTGGCCGGCAAGAGCCGAGAGATTTTAACCCTAATAGTATTCTGCACCTCAAAAGAAACGTATCGGATTATCGTTACGTAATCATCAAGATTAAAATGTAAAGAGAACTCCGTTTTCCAAGAATCCAACTTACCTCTCACGGAACGCGAGGGTTTTGCCTTACCAAATTTTTAACGCTATTTTTTCTCTTCTCCCATTAAGATTTCCTAATATTTTTGAAAGCCCAGGACAGCTAAAATTCTAGCTGCTAGAGTTTAGGATTTATGGGTCGGTAAAGAGAGAAAAATGATCAGCTTCTCGGCTATGCTGACAGTTCGCTACTTCTTCCTGTATTATCGATGGCAATGTAGTGCTGTTGTGTAATCAGACTTGTTTACAGTAGGGAGAGAAGACTGGACCCTCGGACTGGATAAACTTGCTAAGTCATCTTACGACCAAATCCGACTAGATAAAGTACACTGAAAATATCCTTGACAAACTTTCGTCAAGCTTCGGTAAACAGTCGTCATCATTCGGAATGTAACTCTCAGTAGCCACCAGTTCTCTCTCATATTTTAGCTGCGCCTTGCATTTTTTGGACCTTAATGAAAACACAGATGAATCACTTGTTCGATATGGTTTTATTGTTTTGTTTTTTTTCGTTGAATAGAACCTCATGAAGGATGTAACGTCAATTCATTGCTTTTAAAATACAGAAAAGGTAAGTTTATTTAAAATATGACGCACATTATCGCAAATCGTGTTGTTCTGAAAGGCCCTTTTTGAAGCACGTTCACTCGCAAAAATGTGTCGATCAATTCAGATTGTTTATCTTTGTGGTGTATTTTTTGTTCGGAAATATTCAAAATCTCCACGTGAGAAAAAAAACATGTTATTTCAAAATGTCAATTACAGTTAAGTGGGTCTCGATAAAAACCAATCAGATTTTCAATCAGGTAATTTTCATTACGGCTACATATTAGCACTCTATAACCCAACCAACCTGTGACGAACCAAATATAATACATCGTGACGACCTTTCAAAGAAATTAATCAAGCGCACGCAAGTTTTAACTTAAGCCAAATATCCCTAATTTGGTTTTTTTTTATTAATGATGTGTCCACCTTTTGTGAGAAAATTGTTTTGTTTTAGCTCAGATATTTATGGAGTGTCACGATTATTTTTAACGAATTGTTTTGATGTCCTGTTGTTAGAGGGGCAGTATTTGGTATCATGAATTTTCTTTCTATGTAGTGTTGGTGGATTTCCACTTCTGCATCATTCTGTGCAACATGAATAAGCATGAATTTACAGACAGTGTTATTTATGTGCATCTGAATTAATGAAGAAGAGCCAATATGTAGACAGCTTACATTTAGAAACACATTTACCATGTTTAATCTCCCTCCAGGTGTAAGCTGTATTTAATAGCTTCCTTTGGTTTTACTTTATGATGCAAAGTGTGAACAATTGTTTCATGTCAACATCCACTAAATAATTGTGACAAAGAGAATTTGACGTGGTTTAAAGTGGTTTCAAAAATGGCTGATTCCTCTGGCTGTATACTGCTACCTGTTTAGCATGATTAGCAGGCATTCATATTTGGGTTTCCCCTTACATCTTGTTACCAGGCACAGCCACCTATTATGTACAGTATTGATGACACAGTTGATTAGAAAAAGTTTGAAACCCTGAAATTTTGCCTGGGGATAATTTCACTGTTTCTAATATGTTCATTGCCTAAAAACTTAATAAACCAACAGTAGTTTAGCATGGTCTGTACTATTGTCAACAACAATATTTGTCATTATAGTGATAAAGTGCAGGCAAGTGAGTCTGCAACAAATGATACTGTGTTCTTATCGAAAACAGGAAATTGGTCAATGAAATTGTAACATTACTGCCAGTTGTGGTAAAATCTTTTCTTTAGAGAACAAAATTATTAGATTTTCGTGCTACTGGGCTTTATATCTGGTTTCCAGGCACAACCACCTATTACTTACAACACTAACGACACAGGTGATTAAAAAAAATTGATACCTCTGGGATTTTGCCTGGGGATAATTTCACTGTTTCTAATATTTTCTCTGTCTACAAACCTAGCCAATCAATAGTGGTTTAGCATGGTCTGTACTCTTGACAATAACGACATTTGTCATAACATTGATGAAGCATAGTAATGTTGCAATTTGATTGGCCAATTTCCTGTTGTTGCTAAGAGTAAAGTACCTCTTGTTGTAGACTTCCCCTGCCAGTTGTGGTAAAATCTTTTTTTTGAGAATAAAATTGTTAGCTAGTAAAGATTTTTTGGCGTCAGGGCTTTAGTTTGACTGAAAGCAAAACTGATTTATGAGAAACCTCTTAAATTTCCTTGCTGGTTTTTTCTTCCTTCTCAAAGATATATTTGCAAAATCCTCTGGAGACTGTCCTCTTTGTTCAAAGAAGGAGAAGCTTTCTTTGTGTCTTGTTCAACAAAAGAGTATCTAAAAGAGCTTTGAGAAACCTGGGGGGTTTTGCATATGTTATTTCTCAAAACCAAAGTGCTGCAATCAATATCGTCAGGAAACCTTTTATGGTAATTCTATATTGTGCACTCTGTGTTGTCTTCCCGTAGAAGCCTCATTCTAAATGTCAGTTAATTTTGTAACCACTTGTTAATGTAACAAATGCAGGAAAAGCTCTCTGTCATTTTCACAGAGAGCTTTTCATATTTAAAGAAGACTTAAATCTGATAATTATGACTGGAGCTCACTTGAAAATAATGTGTACTGGTAGTAATAAATAATAAATAATAAGTAATGTGTACCGGTAATAATCAAAGATCATAAAATCGCATTTGATATTCTGACACTTTCTTTGGAAAGGTTGTATTTTTATCCAAAAGATTGCAAAAAGTTTCAGAGTGTTGATACAGAATTACTATTAATAATTTTAAAACCCTTTGACCCCTGTAAGAGTTACTAGCATCCAGTTTCTCCAAACAATATCACCCCTGAATCACAAATTAAAGTCATGAGTAAAGGAAATGATCTCCAACCAAACAAGCTCTTGATTATTAAACAAATTCTCCTTGTCAGCACCTGAGGATATAATTGTGGTGACCAGAATGGAGAATATCCATCCTGGATGTTAAGTGTCAAGCGGTCTTATGGCCAGCTGAAGCAAAGTGAACTTTTTCTTACTTTGTCTCCTCAGAGCATTTGGATTAAATGATAGAGTATTTATAATACTAACAGTAGAACCCTGCTAACATAAATCACACTTCAGTAACTCAACCAGCAATCCCCTCTCTTGGTAACTTACATGAAATCCCATTTCCCTTGACCCATTTTTTCAGTCATCCACTAACAGCTAGCTCAACCCTAGCTAACTTTAACCATTTAATTGTTTCCCTTGGAAGTTTTAATTAGCAGGAATCTACTGTATACATAATTTGAAACTCCAAGAAAGATTAATTACCACTATTTTCTTCTTGGCAACTTAAAATTTATTTCTGGTGAACATTTCATGATTTATTGTGGGAAATCGAAAATTCTAATCCTAAAGTCCTAATCCTATTTCATAATTCTTTCATGTGAAAATTTTAGGAAAATTCACTTGTCACATGCACTTTATAAATCATTTCACACATAAATTTTTTGAGGAAAAACTTCAAATCTCACTTTGCCTTGGTTTTCTGTAAGATTCATGCATCATGTACTATTCATTTTAGGCTTAATCATATGTCAACCATGAATGCTATGGCACCCTCTTATAAAGCTTCGGCGCAGATCGTTGCCCTTTAAGTTTAGTTTTTATCTATAGATAAGATTTCTGCCATCCTTCTCATGATCACAGCCACCTATTCCACTTTCATGGGCAGATCAATTGAAAGCTTTGACATTCAACTCCCCTAGTAACTATAACGGGCATTTGATAGTTGTCCATACTTGGTGGGGTGGGGAATTTGAACCTTGTCCATGTGGGGTGGGGAATTTGACCTGGAACTATCAATTCATTCCAGTGGAATGCATGTGGTTGAAATAATATTATAACATAACCAAAGTAAAGCGCGCGCTCTGATTGGTCAATTTAGCGTCCCCCATTTGCCCATGGGTGTACGCTGCTCACGTGAGCAAATGCAAAGACTATTTTTCCGCGCCCGCTTGTTTTTTCTGGTCACGTAAGATTTGTTAAATAAAAGGGAACTCTTTAGCTACAATGTATCGATGTTATGTTATAAAACAAATGGTAAACACCACACCGTACACTATTGAGTTATGGATGCACTTGGGAGGTTTGCTAAGCACTCAAGAAGCTAGAGTCGCTCTCGGCTATCACCTCGAGCGACTCTTACGCTTCTTTCGTGCTTAGCAACCTCCCACGTGCATCCATAACTCAATAGTGTACGCTGTGGTGTTTACCATTTATTAATTCCTTACTTTTGGAACAGCTTAATGGATGTTGACGGTTGCAATGGAGGTTGTCATCTTGATGGCACTGTACAGAGTGGAAGTGACAAAGTTGAAGAGCACCAACTAAATTGCTTCCGAGATAGTTTAGAAGAAGAAGGCAAGAATTCACTAACCGGAGAAAATATGAAAATGGGTTGCGGTGGACACTGTAACAATTACTGTGATCCAGCCATCTCCTCTCCAGATGCAACAGTAAAACTCATAGAGGAAGTAAATGGCATAGACGCTTCAGATGCATGTACGACTGATAACAAACAAAGGAATTCTTTATCTCTGGTAACTCTCCCACCAGAGTTGATTCTTGTGATTTTTTCATTCCTCGATGCACGGTTTGCACTGAGTGTGTTGACAGGTGTCTGTAGACTTTTTCATCATCTGCTGTCTCCTGAGTCTAGTTGGAAAACAAGGTTTGGAAAAAGATGGCGACAGAGAGATAAACGAGAAGATTATGACTATGTGACAAGGTTAGTAATATCATCATTGATTATAATTATTTTAAATAGTTGTTGAATTAAATTAATTGAAAAGACACTTAATGCATCATTGGCGAAGTGACTTGTTACTTTGGTTTTCAATTTTTTATTATTTTTCTTTTTTGGGCAAGCCACATGAGCTTTTTCCCTATTCTTCTTGTGGCTTTTAAGACAGACCTGGCCTAAATTACTAAAAACAAAAAGGGAACATCTTCCTCAAGCTGCATTTATTTATCATTTGTTAACACAAGTACATATTAATTATTTATTTGGATTGGCTGAAACATATTCCATTCTCATTTTCCTTCTCCAAAGTCAACAAATTGAATGTAAAAACTAAGAGGAATCCTAGTTCTTTTTCCTCTTTTACTTAGTTACACTTCTCCCACTTTTGTACAGCTTGGCCCATATTTCAAAGTCTTGTAGGTGTTGAACGCTTTTCTAGTCAGGGCTCAACACTAACCTAACAGTAGCGAACAAGTCACAGACTAGTAGAAATTCAGTTTTGGTTAGTAGTTTTCGATTTCCACGAACCAGTTTGGCTAGTAGACAAACTGAAATTGTCATAACATCTAAGATATCACTAGCCTCTTGGCTACTAAGAAGAAAAGTTAGTGTCAAGCCCTGCTAGTCTTTAAAAGCAGTACCAGAGTCAAATTAAAAATGGCACAGATTTCCTAGACTCTTAGGTAAGACTTTGTTGAATTTTATCAATCTTCCATGCACAAATTTTGCAGTCATGGTAATTTTGTTTCCTACCAGCATGGCTTAACTCTTTGACCCCTGAATTAAACATTAGGGTCAGGAGAATAAAGGAAATGATCACCAACTGAAGAAGCTTTTGATTGTTAAATGAATTCTCCTTGTCCACACTTAAGGAAATGTGTAGCTGGAGAACAGTATTGAAAATATCCATATTGATGTGAAGTTGTAAACGGTGAAAGCTTTTGAAGAGGCATGGGAGCAGGTCATCATGGAAAAAGAAAAAACATTTTTATCTGACTGTGTATTTCCAAGAGAGGAGAATTGCTATAATTAGTAATTATAGTTTTCAGGATTTTCATTCATTTGAGAGGTGCAATTATAGTAGAAAGTGCAAAGTGAGAGAATGTTCTAGACATCTGACAAAAAAAAGTTCAAGACTGTTAAATTTTGCTTGAGAAGTCATTGCATAATGGCAGTATCTAATGAACACACGGAAAAAAGGGGATAACATAAATATGATTAATTTTGTTCTAGTTGGAAGAGAATATGTGTCCAACATGAAGACATGGATAGATTTTGGCAAGATCCTGTTGCCTCTCTGGATTTTTATGAGCTTAAAGATCAGCACTTTGCCACAGTAGATGCAGTTCATGTTATGAGGGGCGGAGGCCTATGCATTTCAGGTGCAAGAGATCGTTCTGTGGGGGTCTGGAATCTAAATGCTCTGTGTGTTCCTGATGAGGTTGGATATGGAAAAAAGTCTTTCAAGCAAGCACTTGATGGGCACAGGGTAGTCAATAACAAGCTCTTAAAGTTAATGTTAAATAGTGCTTGCAGCTATGAATTTACCAAAACAATGAAGCTGGTTAAGTACTGTAATCAGTGGTTCTAGTTTCACAACTGTCGAAGATATGTTTACAAAACAAAAGGTATTGATGAAAATAACAATATCAAAGACAAATGTTGTTAGAACAGTACCTGAAAGTTCAACCTACATGGACACTTTACCATAAGAAAAATAGACAGGAACAAGGTTACCTAAATAACACAACTCAATGGGATAACCTGTGATGGACTCACTCAGGCATCATGGGATACTGGGCTTGACTGTAGACATAGAGACGACATAATCATAAATTAAGAGAGGTTGACCAAAGCTTGAACCAGAACAACAGGATGTCAATTCCAGGGGGTCTCAATAATTAAACATTTTGTTCCTGATAGGGGTTTCAAAGGTTTTGAAAACAATACAAAAACACTATCAGCTAAAGAAACGAAATGGATGGTTTAGAGTGCCAGAAACTGCTTCTCTATTGTTTGAATTAATTTTTTATTTTAAAATATATTTTTGGTCCATTAAGTTACCAAGACTTTCGAGAAACAGGCTCCAGAGCACTAACCAAGGAAATGAAAGCTGCCTTATATTTACTAAGAAATACTCCCAACAATTACTGATACAGCAGTTATCTCTGATTACAGGGTTGGGTATGGTGCCTTTCTAGTGACCCTACAGGAGCTCCTAGAGTGTGTTCAGGATCATGGGACAGTAAAATAAAGTTGTGGGATCTCCAGGGACAAAATGTTGAGATGACAACTATAAGGTGATGTGGAGTAAATTGAGGTCATATTTATAGTAAAAAATGTACAATTATTGTAATTATAATTACTGATAAGTAACAGTTGAAACATGATTTTCAATGTCTCGCATGTTTTTCTTTGTTCTCCCATCTGGAGGTGAATGCTGTACGTCTTTCTTTTTGTCTGACATTATTGTGTTTTTTGCTGTAGCACTCATAAGGCAGCAGTACTTTGTTTGTCTTGGGAACAAGAGATGCTGATATCTGGTTCCTATGATAAGAGTATTTCATTGTGGGACCTAAGAGGTGAGGTACTTAAACCTCCTAAATCATAACCACTACGATTTCCTCAAATATGATTGATGCCTTAGCTGCTTTATTTTTCACTAATTATTTTGTAGAGTTGTAATTGGACAGAATAATTGAACAGTTGGCTGTAATCAGACTCCTGTAATCAGACAGTTAAAGCAGCCAACATGACAGGATGGAAAATGTGTGCGCTGTAAGTACCTCCCATTGTCCCATGAAAAGCCTTAGTAAACTTTTCTAAGACTTTGTATGGAACAACGGGAGGTACTTACAGTGCACACATTTTCCATCCTGTCATGATACTTGGTCCACTTGCTCCACTAAATCCACCAATTACATACCATATTTACCCATGTATAATGCGCACTTTTTTCCTACAAAAATAACCATCAAAATCGCAGTGGTTATTATACATGGATTCCATTGTTTGTCACACGTCCTAATTTGCATATGTTAAAAACACAACAAAAAAAGTAACACACATAAGCTTTGATTAAATAACTTATTTTCAATGAAAAATTATAGGTGCATATTAAGTTTTTACTCTAAAATCAAGAGGAAAGACAAAAATTGCTAAATATTTTTGCAAGTGTGCAAACAGGCAGGTGGATCAGATTTTAGAGTGAATGTGCAAATTTGGCTGTGTGTGAAGAGATCTTATGTTACATGGAATTTTTCAACGAGAAGCAAGAAGAAAGTGAGCAAGAAATATTGCAGGACAAAAGCTGTATTTAAGAAGTTCTTGATTTGCTGTTATAAGTGAAAAACACGCAAATTTTTTTTACGTGTACAAAGCGCATGCAGAGGGATTCATCATGGCTATATTGTTGTTTACTTGACTCTATATGGCCAGAATATTGCATATAGCACTAGTTTGAAAATTCTAAAAATACAACGATATGACACAAAATCTTCAATACTTTTCAGACATATTGTTGCTCTCTCATAATATTTACCGGGCCATGGAATCGTCAAATTAGGAAGGCCTTGCTTGATGTCCTAAAGTTTGATTTCAATAATGTCATAAATAACTAAGTAACAAAAGATATCGATGTTAATGATGTAGTAAATTTCTTATTCTTGTTATCTTAATAAATAATTGTACAAATATTTAACTTGTCTTTTTTGCTGTGAAAATTTTTTTTTCTGACAAATTAGGTTAAAAACAAGGGTGCGCATTACACATGGGTGTGCATTATACACGAGTAAATACAGTAGTTTATTACAACAAAAAATATAACAACAACCATTTACCTTACAAAACTGAGGAATTTCCCAAATGGAGGAATTTTTTACCTTAGACAATGTCTCAACTGAAGGGTTGTTGTTAATTGCCAGCAACTGGTGAAATTTGCTGGCTGAGAAGGAGGCAGTCGCTGGCTGAATTTTCACTAGTAATTGCTTGACAGATGAGTCTTAACTTTTTACAGTTTAAGTGAAAAATAAAAATACCTTGCCATTGGAAAAAAAAAAGATGAAAATAAATACTGAACTACATTTAAGCCACAAAATTACTAAAGGTGAAAATTATTAAAGGTGTTGCTTTGAATTCACTGGTCTTAACTGATCTATGGTGTGTCACTCTCCATTTCTGATTGTCATTTTGTAAACTCAAAGCTTGGTAGCCCCACTGACAAGATGTTGCAAACAACTGGACACAGCCGGCTGAATAGTTTCCTCAACCAGCAGGCCATTTTCTTAGCTATAACACTGTACTGGATATAATTATTTTCTCAAAGAAAAAGAACGTAAAACTGTTTGTTTTTTTTCTGAAATTGTGATGGTTATGATTAATTCCTAACTGGACTTCTTGTTGTTCGTGATTGACAAAATTGGACTCCACTCAGTCCTATTTCATTACAAAGTCAATGCACAATTACAAACCAAACTGTGTTCCAATCTGTCCTATTGTTATTGATAGTAGATAATTAATAAATATTGTTTTTGACTGATCAATGCAATCTTTGAGGGGTTCACATTATATTTTTTAGACAAAGAAAATAAATACCTACTTAAGATACAGCTGATTAAAAAAATTTAAAACTATTGATTCAGAAGTGAAATAACAATATTTTTTCTCCTTTAGCTGGCAATATCATCAGTAAATTGAAGAACCACAGTAAGCCAGTGTTGTGTCTGTCTGTGGATGACAGGTTTATTATAAGTGGAAGTGAGGACAAGACTCTTTGCGTGTATGATAAAAGAGCTGCACAAGTTTATAAAACAGTAAAGGTATGCAGTCTTCATCTTTACCACCTATTGATTTTAAGTGATATTCATTCTTTACCTCGTAAAAGTAAGTTCAATGTAAATGAGACTCTAAGATATTAGTTTAGTAATCTTGAAATAATGTTAGGAGCCAAAAAAAAAAAACCATGAGGGAGAGAAGATGATGAAAAACAAAAAAAAATTAAACTGGATTCAGGGCTTGACACTAATGGTAGCCAACTAGCCACAGAATAGTAGAAATTCAGTTTTGTTGGTGGTTTTTGATTTTCACTAACCAGTTTGGTTAGTAAACAAACTGAAATTTTCGTTACATCTAAGTTATCACTAGCCACTTGGCTAGTAAGTAGAAAAGTTAGTGTTGAGCCCTGGGATTGCAAATGACTTAGGCTTAAACTTTTTCTTTGAGATTCCGAAACAGTAACATAACTCCACTAACTGAGTGAACTGGTTAGAATGTTCAAATACTGAAAATGAAGGATTAGGAACTCCATATTTTGTGTAATTATGGTAATATACTGTGTGTGTATAGTGACCCACTCTGTAGACTTTGTATTCTGGGAGTGCAATAACTTTTTCCAGAAGGCTACCAATGGTTTCTATAGCCAGCTATGCAGACACAAAATTAATGCAAACAAGAGAGCTTGTTCTTCTAAGCAGGTTCTCTGCTTGACATAGTGTAATTGAGACTTGAATAAAGACATGATGATTTAAGGTAGCATCATGACTATTAATTTTGCTTCTCGTAGACAAGTGTCTTGTGCTCAATTACATTTTCTGGATCGCTTGCTTCTTGGTGCTCCGAAAAAAACTAATCAAAAAAACAATGTTGTCGTTTGTAGCTTGAGAGTCCAGTCTTCAGCTTGTGCCATAGTTCCACTTGTGGCTATAACTACCTGAGGGTTGGAGGAAGGGAAGGTCGCCTGCATTTGTTGGACACAACAGCTGATAAATTTGAAGAGATAACAGTAAGTTAGCCAACTAGAGACAATGCTAGAGATTTTTGTGTATCTTATTATGAATGCAACTTGTTTTGACTTGTCATAATTAGTGAATCATTTGTTCCTTTTTTGGAAGCCCAGCATTGAACTTGATTCCAATGGGAAAATCTCTGCTATGTGTCACTATGGAGGTGCAGTGGTAGCCTGCTCATCAGACAAATCTATTAAGGTAAGAAGTTACATGGATGGGGGGGGAAAGGACATGCAAGGGTGCTTTATTGTTAGAATTATCATGAATTACCACTTTGTTCTTGACTGAGGGGGGAGGTCACATACCTTAGCCCTCTCTTAAGGGTTGCAAAGAAGCAGTGGATATCTATCTCCCTTTCAACAATCCTTATTTTTGAATAATTATAGATAAATTATGCTTACCGGCTGTCCTCCATTTGCAGGTGCTGGAACCCTCTCGTGTCTTATCTGTGATTCATTCATTTGACTGTCATTCTGGACAAGTTGCATCAGTGAGTGCATGCAAACAGTTGTAGTGAAATTCTTAGCTAAAGGTTGATGTAGTGCCACAAGATAATGCAGTTCTAACATCTCAGTCTAGCTCTCATGTACACTTCCAAAGAGAAATTAACTATGGTAGTTTCCTTTATAGTTGGGTTTTTTATTTTAATTCAGTATGTCATGTGCTGGCATTCACTTTCATCTCAAACACAAAAATTGTTGAAAAGAAAACTAAAAGTTCATAGGGGTTGATTCATTAGAGAGAGGGATAGGATGGAGAGGGAGACATTTTGAAGATGGGGGGGGCCATATTATAGAAGGGCACTTATGAGAGAAGAGAGCTTGTTAGAGATGAGGGTTAATTAGAGAGGAAGACGTATAAGGTAAAGGGATCTTACCAGAGAGAGAGGGGGGGGCACCTTAGAGGGGGAGGGCTCATTATAGAGGGATGCTTGTTGGAGAGGAAGGCTTGGTAGAGAATGAAACTTATTGGAGATAGGGATTAACTAGAGAGGAAAGTTTATGGGAAAAGGGTATTATCAGAGAGAGATGGCTTTCTCAAGAGGGGTCATTATAGAGAGGGGAGGCTCATTATAGATCGAGGCTTATTAGGGAGGGGTGCATTTTAAGGAGGGGGGTTCAGAATAAGGAACTCTTTAAAAGGGAGGGAAGGGCTCACCAGGCCCTTTCATTCTCTGGGGTAAAAGGACCTAAGAGAATGAAAAACTATGAAGTAGGAGATACTGTGTTCTGGTGTAACACGAGATTCTCAAAGTGCACTCTCACAGGCATACTACAATTATTAGAAGGATTATTGGTCTCATGCAAGGGACAATGGGACTCAAACCCTATTCACTTTGCCTTTTACCAGGTTAGTAGTAGAGGACCTGTCTTGGCATCTTGTTTCAGTGAACTCAGCATAGGAATATGGAGGCCAAAGAATCTTAGACCAGCTCAAAGGATATGATGTTGGATTCTGGTGAACTTAGACATAAAACAGATTCATAATGATGGCCATTCATTAAACTGTACCTCACCATACCTTGCATTCATTAAACTGTACCTCACCATACCTTGCAATCATCTGTAAATATCTTCTAATCTTCTCAAGAAGATTGTAGTGGTTATGACTGGTTTTGCATTATGACAAAAGAAAGCTGTGGAAAGCTTGCATTGTATCATTTTCTTATATATTTCCATTCTTCGTTCATTTGTCCATTCTTTGTAGATAAAAACTAGAGTAATCAAAATCCAGTCTTTATTTCCTCCATTTCTTTTTCACTACAAGAAGGAAACCAGTCATAAATTTTTGTAAGAAGATTTCTATTCAATCTATTTGTTTTTACCCGAACACACACAATCATGTTGAGAGAACAAATAAAGGCAAAGGCCTTTTGTCTATCAGAACAGAATAGTTACTTTTTGTACAAAACGACTTGTCTTTTAGTGTAATAGTTTTGGTCACATAAGTCAATAAAAAATCGGCGAAAAGAAAAACAGCCCTTGGAAAGTGAGGGTACAAAAAAGAATGAGACATCGCTCGGAATTCGCATGCGTGGAGTCAAGTGTTTTGTTGTTGTTGTTGTTGTAGTTGTTGTTTTTTTTTTCCCTCTCTCTTTTCTTTTCTTTTCTTTAAGCCGATCTTGATCAACTCACTTGAGGGATTACTGTTAATCCGGGACTATTTGTATTAATTAATGAATTAATTTACTTCATTGTAATTGTAATTGTGATTGTAATTACTTATTGTAATCTTTGACAATAAGTTGAATATGGAACGTCAAGTTTCGGCTATTTGTAAATCTGCATTTTTTCACATCCAGAATATTTCTCGGATTAGAAAGTTTTTGTCAGTTAGTAGTACTAAGGCATTAGTACACGCCTTCATTACATGCAGATTAGACAACTGTAATTCTCTGTTATATGGTCTTCCAAAACATTTAGTCCATAGATTGCTGTTAAGATGTTAATGAACTTGTGCGCGTGCGACTCGCGTGCGCGTGCGACTCGCGTGCGCGTGCGACTCGCGTGCGCGTGCACGTGCGCGTGCTTTGGGACTACATAGGCTAATAATATCATAAGCAAATCACGCAGACCTTTTAATTTTGGCGAGTGCGATTTTTTAGAGGGAGTTGAAAAGTTTTTAGTTTATCGAGTAGCAGTTTTTGTTTAATGGTCGTTATCATTTACCGTGAGTCTACAGTTTACCATGTTGGAATTAAAGTGTTTGTTTGGATTTCCCGTTTCGCTTCCGAACAATTGCAATTAGCCCAGAATTGTGCAGCACGGCTGATCTTATGTGGTCGCAAGCATGATCACATTACTCCTTTACTCAGGGAACTGCACTGGCTCCCCGTAGAGCAGAGGATTATTTTTAAAATCTTACTTTTTACTTTTAAAGCTTTAAATAATTTATTCCCTAGTTATATCAGTGACTTGTTAGAAACTTATAAGCCTACTAGGTCTTTGCGATCATCGAGTAAGAACTTGTTAGTGATTCCTCGCTCCAAGTTGAAATCTTATGGCGATTGCACCTTTTCTGTCTCTGCACCTAAACTGTGGAATGGCATTCATGAAACTATAAAATGTAGAGTAGATCTGAACGCTTTTAAGCGTAATCTTAAAACTTATCTTTTTAAGCATTATTTGAATGAATGATTATGTTTGATTATTATTTTACTTTTTACCTTGATTGTGAAGCGTCTTAGAGCTTTTGGATAGGGCGCTATATAAATCGTCATTTATTTATATATTTATAGATAATTTCTAATTAGTCTGCGAATCAGGTTATGATGATCCACACAGGAATACATAACTTAAGTTTTTTATGCTTTTTCCAAAGAGAAGTGACTAGTCTGCTTATAAAATTTGGCTGGAAGAGAAGAGTGAAAGAGCGGATGGGTGAAAATAGTGGTTGTCCGAGAAAAGACCCTTTTATGCTAACCACTTTCTTAGTTTGTTTCCATTGACCCATAGCCTGGTGTACGCCAAGAAATGGCGCGTGGTAAACAAAGCTGAATTAAGGTGAAGTAGAGGTTATGGAGTCGACGTTACCAGATACGGGCTTAATACAGGGTTCGTACGCGTCTTGAAAAGCCTTGATAATCAGGAGGCCGATTTCAAGGCCTTGAAAGTACTTGAATTTCGTTTTGGGTCCTTGAAAGTCCTTGAATTTTTATTGAACAACATCGAAAAATATCTGCTTTTGTTTTGCACCATCAGTAAACCCAAAACATAGATGTTAACAGAAACATTTTTCTTGGTTTTGAGGTAAAATTGTCATTACAAAAAGTCCTCGAAATTTCTAAGTAGGGTCCTGGAAAGTCCTTGAAAATTCCTTGAATCTTTGGCCTGAAAAAGTGTACGAACCCTTTTAATATATTGACTCAACTTTTCAGCGCAATACAGTGGACACGGCACTAAACATCGTAGACGGCTGATCCACAATGTTTTAAAACGTAATTTAGGATGGTTAAAAATTTTAGTCTAAAAAATTAAATATACAAATTCTGGTGCTTAAAAGACAAAAGATTGAATTAAAGAATAAGCATATTTGCAAACACATTCTTAATAAATCTATCGGAATTTCTTTCTGGGCGATAGACAGCTCTGTTTCTAAGATGACACTTTGTGTCTTTCTTCTTAGGAGTAATGTTGGGGGATCGGGATCAGCTGAGTGTACCTTAAAGAGCTTCCTATCTGCCTTTCCAAAAGCCTTCAAATTTCCATCCTCTCTGATATGTATTTCTTAACTCGCCTGTCTAAATCATTTTGAATGATCGTGAGAGCTGAGTTTAGGGCGCCATAAGCAGACACGGCCATTAGAAAATTCGCTAAAACGAGGGCGCTGATAGGCGGTCTACTTCACCTTGACTGAAACCTTCCTTCGGTAAAGATCTTACTACAAACAGACACTTATTTGCCTTTTATCAGCTTAGCACGAACATTTTCGCTGTATTTGCAATTCCCTTGAAACGTAACGTCTAAAATGGGCAGCCCCGTGCGTTCATTAACCAGCACAATGTCTTCACTAAAATCCTTCTTGTGAGAAATAAGTTCTGATATTTCGACGGATTACGTATCATACCATTATCCTTAAATCAATTTAAACACTGATTCTCCAAATCTGTGCGACAGTGGCCATTACTCCAGACAGGCAAAATGAGAATTGAATCGTATATTAATCAAGCGCTGTTGACGTTGCCCAAGAAAGGCGGACGTAACAATTGATAATGAATGAATTAATGTAGCTCTTCAAGCTTAACTGCCAAAGTTAATAATACGTATGATGCACGATCCTCGCAGTAGAGAGCGCTATTTATGCAATAGCGAAAATCAGACCTGGAAAAAAACCAGGCCTGTACGGGATTCAAACCACTGACCTCTGCGACACTAGTGCAGCGCTCTACCAATTGAGCTAACAATACGTAACTAATATAGCAGTTCAAGATATATGAATATACGCATCATACGTATCTAATACCGCAGTTCAAAATATATGAACTTCATATATTTATTGTATCTGATTTATCATCACGGGTTTATTACGAATCAACTCAACAGCCTGCTCCCAGTTGGCTTGTTAGCTCAATTGGTAGAGCGCTGCACTAGTATCGCAGAGGTCAGTGGTTCGAATTCCGTACAGGCCTGATTTTTTTCAGGTCTGATTTTCGCTATTGCATAAATAGCGCTCTCTACTGCCAAACCGTTTTAAGAATACATTTTTTAATAGAATTGTTTTTAAGTATAATGTAGCTTCGTGAAAGTGTACTTCCTGTATTAGATGTAACATAAGATATGTAATTTTATCTTTTGAACAATAAAGACACACTACACACTACTACTACAGAAACATCTGAAGTCATGTCATAGCAGATCAAATTTTGATTGCATTGGATTTTCGCGTAATAGGTGTCCCGTCCCACCCATTGTAATTGAGCCAATGTGCATTCCTCTACTATCCGACAAGTGATATCAGATTCTATCCTGGGGACGAGACTTTCTTGACCAATAAGACGTCGCATTACTTCCAGCATCTCGAGTTACGTTCTGAGAATAAGCTCTAAGGACAGTCTTATGATACGAGACGATAAAGTCAAGGTTCTGGAGCAAGAGATCTTTTATTCCCACAAAGGTTAGAAAATTTATTTTCCAAACGATACATTTTGATATCTCTATTGTTTGTCTTGACTACCGATTATTTTTTAGGCATAATCGTTTTCATAGTAATTCCGAACCATGTGTCTGAAATACATAGGGTTGCTAAGAACGTTTTTGACAGGCTTGAATTAAATCTCTGCTTTTGTTTGGAATGCTTTGAAACAGAAATAGTTAGCGATTGGGACGGCTTTATAATAAGCATCTATTATAGAAAAATTTAAGAAAACTTCAGTTTAGCTAGCTTTCTGGGGTAGAAAGACATTTTACTGGAAGGACAGTACATCGATCGACAATTCGACGTGACATCATCGGTGGCGAAAGTTCATTGCTGTCCGGAAACATTCTTTTTGCGTTTATGTTTTGACTTCGAAGACATGAAATAGCTAAATAACACCTCCACTAGCTGAGTACAGCTATATCTATCGATCTATTAGTCGATTAAAGTAAAATCAACAAATTTTGCAATCGTAAATAAACAGTAATAGCTAGTGCAGAAGCACCGCAGGAAACACTGTGAAATTCCTTGCTTTGCTCATAGTTATTAACTATCCTTTGCTCCATAAAGAAAGGAACACCCTTCTAATGTCACTGCCATCGCAAGAACCGCTTTAGATTATGTTTTAAACTATGAAATAGAACTGCATTAGTTGATGGTTTAAGTATAACGAGTTTAAGAATGAGATCGGGTTCACAGTGTCGGTAACAATTTTAAGCATGTTGAAGCTTGTCGTCAGCTCCGACGCTGATTCAAATTTTTTTTGTCTTATTTTATTTGTAAATTGATATTAGTGTATAGCTTTATTCGAAAAGTTCCGTCGTATGTTAATAAATGGTTTGCTAAATAACGGTATTTTTGGAAAGTGTCCATTTAGCTGAACAGTCTCCCACGTTTAAAAGTCAAGATGGTCTAAAGGTCAAACTGTCTGTCATAGTTCACATGACAAATTGCGGATACTAAGGCAAGGATTATTCGCCTACTATTTTAACCTTCCACGTCTTTAGAATTTGAAGTTCTTGGTTAATTTCAGGCCCACTATGTTTTTACTGTAGTACTGAGGTTACCATATTTTTCTGTTCTACTTTAACTTCATAGCACTCATAAAGGTTACAAGAATGACTCAGAAACTAAATAGTTACAATATAGTTCCGAAGAGTCACAGGTTTATGATAATTTAACGTAAAACAACCTCATCAGACTTGTCAACTAGAACTATGAGAATGATATTTGTATTGTATAATGTTGTTTTAGGATTACAGCACTATTTATCAGCGACGAGGAATGAAGGGGGCTGTGATAATTTCAGTGGGCTTCCTTGTTCTTCAGTGTATATCACTATCTGCAGGTACTGATTCTATAGCTACTGCTGTACTAATGGTATCAGGTCATCAAAGTATATTAATATTATTCTGAAATGTATTACCTGTTTTACCCTTTGACCTGTAAGATTGATTAGCATCTAATTTCTCCTTAAAAGTTCACCTCTGAATTAAACAGTAAATTCACAAGAACATAGGAAATGATCACCAACCAACAAAGCCTTTGATTGTTAAACAAATTCTCCTTGTCAGCATCTTAGGGAATGTAAAGAGAACAGTATGGAGAATATCTATACTGATAGTAGGGTGGGAAGGGTTAAGTTGGATAATAGCTTGCTGAAGTCCATTTTTTCAGTTCTATATAAGGAAACACTCCTGAATATCCAAGAATGTTGCTTAAGTTTGAGAAAGTGAAAATTTGAAATGTGTGGGTCCGATGATAAACTATCAATAGGATAATGAAGAAAAAACCAGAAAAGATCTGTTTTTACAAAATTTCAATTCAATTTTAAACTCTTTGTGAAGTCATTTTCAAGGAGGTAGAGACTGTAAAGGCAATCAAGCATTGTTTTATACAAAAGCTGACTTTGTGAATGCTAATTTTTAAACAAAAGCTGACTTTGTGGATGCCAATATTTATACAAAAGCTGACTTTGTGGATGCCAATTTTTATACAAAAGCTGACTTTGTGGATGCCAATTTTTATACAAAAGCTGACTTTGTGGATGCCAATTTTTATACAAAAGCTGACTTTGTAGATGCCAATATTTATACAAAAGCTGACTTTGTGGATGCCAATTTTTGTGTCACCCTGAAAAAGAACATCTGATCACAGGATAATTTACTCTCTAGTACAAATCAATTGGCAATGTGTAAGTCTAGTTATAAGGAATAGGTTTTCAACATCTGACAGATATTTCTTCTAAATAAAGGCTGATAGTTTCTAAAGAAACTGTTTGGGGCTGCGTCGGTGGGGGTAACAAAATAATTTGAATATATCAACAAAGTTGAAAGGTAAATTGGCCACCGTTACGATTATAAAAGCTGATGTTTCGAGCGTTAGCCCTTCATCAGAGCAAATAGGGGAATTGTGGGTTGTGTGTGCTTTAAAGGCAGAAAAAGGAGCTACGTGATTGGTTATTAGATATTTCTTCAGTTTACATTAACCAGCTGCACCATGTGACCCAAGATGCACAGCAATACCAGGGCAGGGAACTTGTCAAAGCAGTGGACGCTGCCTTTGTTGGTGGGGATGGACTGGGCCTAATGGAGAATACGTATTATCTGGATTTCATAAAAATCGTGTACTGGTAAGGAATATGAATTTAAAAAGAACACTACACGACCTGTTACTTTGGAAAGAAGATCCTTATAGTAGAGCTCAAATTATATTTTACCCATCAAATCAAGGCAGATGGTATCATTTATTTTAATTTCAGGCTGACTATTGTACAAGGTCGTGTCTTTACACTCCCCGCCACAGGAATAAAGCTTGTGCAAAGATCCCTCCCCCCCCTCAGCCTAAACAAACTTCTACAGCAAATCCATCAACACAACCAACAACAGGGAAACCAAGCACAGGAAGCAGTACTAAAGGTAGGGGTCTTATATCTGGGCAATCAAAAGCAACTAAAGAATTGGCAGATGTACAATATGATATATTTATCAAAGGATCAGGCAACACACTTTGATGTTTTCAAAATAAAATAAGAACTGGGAAAAATTACTTAAGCTGTAATCTGAAAGCATTTAAAATTTCAATGACAGACCTGTGTTCTAATTGAAAGTAAAGCTGTGCACTGGTGAAAAAAATTGGCAACATGTTGTGCGAAGCATTGGACAAGTTTCATGGTGAATAAAAATGTATATTTAATTAAAAAAGGCATGGAATGGTATTCTGGAGAGAATCACATAATTGAATAAAATCTTGCATTTTGATTGGTTCATGAAGTGAGGTATTAAGCATGGAATGACGAGTTGAAAACAAGGCTAAGTGATATTATCTCACCTCTCTTTTTTCTTGCTTAGGATAAAAACAAACAATATTATTGCATTTTTTATTTTTATTCAGTTAATGTGTGGTTCAGGGAAAATCCATCATCTTTCACTCAATTCCACATTAAATTGCACTTAAAAAAACGATATTGCCCTCATCACTTTATGATTCATGTGATATCAGTTTTCACATACAATTTAAAGTGGAATTCCCTCATCAGGTAATGAACTTTCCTATAATAGACTTGTTTTGTAAAGCATGACTGATTGTTGCGTAATTCAATCACTTTCCATGTGAATCACAACTTATAAACCGCATACTGCAAGTCTTCTTTAGGGAATGAAGTCAAATGGGTACATGTCACCTCGAGAATATTCTGCCCAGCCTCTAGCCAATTACAGACAAGCAGAACAGTCCATAAGGTGACAGGTACTCAGTCAACAATTTTTGCCCACATAAGACTTGCAGTAAGTAGGCAGTAAAACATCACAGCCCATGTGGAAAGTGACTTCACACAGAGACAAACCATTATACTTCATGTACAAATGAATATTGTGACCACCATTGTCTTATCTTTGTCATCAAAGCTCCACCCACAGTGTCATGTGACCCCAAATGCACAGCCACACCAGGACAAGGAACTTGTCAAAGTGATGGAAAATGTCTGTGTTGGTGGGGATGGACTGGGCCTAATGCAGAATACATCTTATCCGGAACTCTTAAGAACAGAATTATGGTACTCTTGAATTAATATTCATGATGTGATTTTAGTTATGTTATGATGTGCAAAGAACACGTTTTTACTTTTTGTCTTAACCCTTAGCTCTTACAAGTGATTAGCTTGTAACTTGTCCCTATAGTTTCCATACTTTATCTAGCAAATACATATAGAAAATGAGAATAATCAAACTTTCCAGGTAGTTGTTATCGTGCTCTAACACCAGATTCTCATAACTAGTTTACAAGGAAATCTGTAGCAGCCACCAGGAGAATTACCAGTCAGATCTTGGAAGTTAATGAATATAATAATAATACTTAATAATTAATAATAATTTAATATTTATATTGGGCAAATTAATATAATTAAGCTCTCCTTACAATTCCATTATGCTATATCATACACACAGGTTGAGAGCAGACAAGAGTATCAATTAGAGGGTGTTATTATGATGTAAGACCAGATTCTCCTGCTCAATGTACAAAGAAATGTGTGGCAGTCAGTTGGAAGGGTTACTGATTAGATCTTGGGAGTTAATTGTTCAAATGAGGTGCCTCAAAATTGTGCTCATGGAAAAGTTGGCCTGAATTCAGCTGTGGTTTTGAAGTGATGTGGGTTGCCCTTTGCCTTAATTATTGCACCTTTTTGTAGTTCAGTTGGAAAGCTGGTGTCTTACAAATGCAAGCTTTTGGAATTTATTTCTTTGTTTTTCATTCCCCTCACAGCCCACTCAGGCATTTCCCAACATAACCACTAGCTATGCAGGTTTGTTATTATAAAACCTCGCATGAAAAAAAAAAATCACCAAGTTATTTCTCGTCAAATTCCAAAGGACTCTCTAATTAACACTTCAGTGGTGTTAAGTTCACTAAAAACTGATTTGCTGTTTTGTTACATTCTTTGTTTTGTTGGGTTGAATGATAGACTCACCGCCTCCAAATTCTAATAAAGTAAAAAGATCAATATATCACAGGAAAATTGCATCCTTTGTTTTCAGGCTGATTATTGTACAGAAGCATGTCATTACACTCATGACTATATGAATCCATCATGTGCCAGTATCCCTACCCCAAAGGTGTGCAGTTTACCTGGTAACACAACTGACCCACCCATCCCCTGTGATCCTCTGTGTGGCACAGGGACATACCACAGTGCTGGAAAGTGTCTTTCAAATGGCCGTTGCCTCTGCTGGTGGGGTTGGACTGGTTCCAATGCCTGCTACATTGATGGAGGATCTTATAACAACAGGATCATAGTGAGTATTGTAGTTATGACTTGTGGACAAAAGGAGCACATTTACATCTTGCGGTAAAAGTCAGGGGGGCTATTTAAAATTGTCTTGGTACATATTGAATTTATCTGTTACATATTAAGGTTGTTATAAGAGCCACAAGCTGGTTTCAATTGTTAATTTCATAAAGTGGCCAAGAAGACAAGTTGCTCCTCAACATCCCTTCTATTCTTGTCAAAGACTCTTAGCAAAACAAGTGCTGATCGAAGCACTTGCTTAAGTGCAAATAAAAATCACAGGATGGCTTTCTTTATTGTTTTTCTGCCAGGTTTGTAAATGTGTTTGCCTTCTCATACCCTTTCTCTTTCCTTTTACAATAGCCTGTCCTCTCTATCTACACTTCCTATTCATTTACCTCTTATCTAATTTGGGCTTGCACCTGTGGTGCTCAGCAATGTATCTACAAGAGAGCATCCACCTAGGAAAGAGATTCAACACCAGCATACCTAGACAAATGATGCATGTTTATATTAACTTTTTTGTACTGTCATAGGCTGACAGATGTACCAAAGCTTGTCACTACACTCATGACCACAGAAATATTAATTGTACTAAGTACAATTCAACGAATCCATCAACACAACCTCCAGTTACAAGAAAACCAAGCACAGGATGCATAACCACAGGAGTACCAACCTCTGGAGCTTATCCTCAGTCATCAACAAGAAAACTGACAACTGCAATCTCAACTACAGCTTCATCAAAAACTCATCCAACAACACCGAAAGAAACCAGCACCATTCCAACAACAGCTCAGAGAACAACAAAAGCCCCAACTACTAAAGAAAGGACAACTTCTCATCGCTCTACAACAGCAAAAGCAACCACCACTCAAAAAACAGTGACCACTACAGCAGAGACAACAACAACTGGTACGCCAACTACAAAACAAAAGACTACAACTCCTCCATCCACTACAGCTAAGGACACTACCACCCAAGCTTCTGTGTCGACTACAGCAAAGACAACAACTTTTGCACCAAGTACCAAACAGAAGACTACAACACAAAAGGCAAAAACAACTACAGCTAAACAAACAACTACCCAAACACCAACAACAATGGCAAAGACAACAACTTCTGCACCAACCACCAAACAGAAGACAACAACACAGAGGGCACAAACCACTACAGCTAAACAAACTACTACCCAAACAGCAACAACTACAGCAAGCACCACCATGCAGACAACAAAACAGAAGACTACAACTGCAGCAGCAACAACCACACAAGCTCCTACAACAACAGAAGAACCGACAGAACCAACCGAGCCAACAGAACCTACAGAGCCGACAGAGCCGACAGAACCGGCTGGAGTGCAGGTGAGAGGATGGGCTCCTGATGAGGACTTTGAAAGTCAGGTAGGTCTGACTGAATCCACTTCATTTTCCTTTGGAGAAAGTTCTTAAACTGAGGGTTGAAAGTAATCTTAACTTGTTTTGCTTTAACAATTTTTAACCCTCATGAGTGACCAGGACAGAATTTCTCCTAACCTTACAATATCAATACAATGTCAAGTAGACAAGTGATAAGAAAAAAATCTCTATTAATTAGGCAATTACTAGTTGATCCAATACCAAATTCTCCAAACTAACATCATGAGAATTGGATGGCAGATTGCAAGGAGAATGCCTGATATTGTATTGATATTGTTAGGAGATTCTCAGTCTTGGTCACTCATGGTAATAGTCCATTTTACAGTTGTGTGCTTGGTTGCCAAGCCTTTGAATGGGAGTGAGGCTAGGGGTGACCTTGTTATGATACAAACCTTGCTACCTTTCAAATGTAAATCACTTTGTTATCATGCTAACTAGATACAGGTCTCTATCACAACAAGGTCACCTTCAGCCTCACTCTGTATGAAAGGCTTGGAAACTAAGTACACAACTGTTAAATGGCCTGTTAAAGGTTAACAATGGCATGATAGTGTAGTTACAATCATTTATTCTTAAATTCTGTTACAGAATGATGATGCCAAAAATTTTGGCGACATTGGTAAGGCTGACGCTGTTAAAGAGAAAGATGACAGTGATGGCAAGAAATCGAGTCATGCTGGTGTAGTTGGTGCCGTGGTAGTCCTGCTTTTTTCTTTAGTGGTGTTTGGTGCAGCCGTGTGGTGGTCTTATGGCCAAGGAAATCAGTGTCCAGGCATTTGGCGCGGTTATGAACAAGTGGCAGACCATGATAATACCTACCTGATGAATGACTTTTCAACTTCAACAACAATTCCATGACCATCATCATTTTAATGCTAAAAGCTCTTTTCTGGGACTTAGTCATAAAGTCGATGATTTTGTTGGAATGACACCAGCTTACTGATTTGTACTTCATTGCCACACCTTTGAGTGACTATTGTGATGCAAACTTTGTGCATCTTATCTGTGAATCACTGTTTCATTAAGAGGTGACTGCTTTCCTAACCTTTCGACAATTCAAAGGGCTTACAATTTTACTTATTAACCTCTTACACCCTAACTTCAGAGGATATATTTTCCATACTTTTCTTCATACATTCCCGAAGGTGCTGACAAGGAGAATTTGTTTAACAATCAAGCGTTAAGTTGGTGATCATCTTCTTTATTCTCCTGACCTCAATGTGTGATTCAGGGGGGACATAGTATGGAGAAATTAGATGCCTGTCACTCTTCCTGGCATAAGGGTTAATTGCAAAATGGTCTGCTCTGTGTTAATTTAATATCTTATTAACCAAGCGCAAGGGCCTTACTGGGAGAATATCGGCCCGAGGTCTTGACAGTACAGACCTCGCTGCGCTCGGTCCGTACAAAAAAGACTGAGGGCCGATATTCTTCCAGTACGGTCCTCAGCAAGCTTGGTTGATAAGAGATTTATTACATGACTGAAGTTCAAAGGGACACAAGTGCGGTATCATTCGGGACCATTCGGGACAGTGCCCGGTCCAATACTGAGAGAAAATTGACTGGCAATAGAGCATTTTGATTGGTTGATTTTAGTTATTGGCCCTCTGACTTCCCAAGTCGTGTAATAAAGTTTTTTATTGACAGTAATTACACAGCATCAGTGAGCTCTGCCATCACCCAGGAGCTACTGCTGGGATAAAACATAAATGACACTAGCATTAATTTTATTATCGTTTTTTAGTGACTCCACAGGAAACCCAAGCTTAAACTTTGGGGTTGTTTGAAGTACAAATTACCAACACATTTCTAGAGCACATGCATGAGTGCAAGTTTTTCACACGCAGGCCTTAAAACTGGCTACAGTTAAAGTTTGATTTTAAATCATTTTTGAAAGAGAGACAGATAATATTTTAGAGTCTGAAATAATTTTACTATTGCTATGTGGTCCAAAAGCTACTGTGAGTCAGAAAGATAGATGTAGCTACAGTTTCTCAGTCACAACTGCATAAGTATATTACAAATTAACTCTTGAAGTATTTTTGAATAAAATTTTCTAAATGAATAAAAAAAAATTCTATTTCACCACTTGCTTTGTGTTTGACTTTCTTTATCTCTTAATTTATCCCTAATCATGGCAGTGTTAGAAATGAACAGAGAGTTCATCCTTTTGGTTAAGTTAAGACACTAAATATTGAGCAGTAATATGCTACAATCCCCGAAAAAAATCTTGGGACACTTGAGCAAGAAAGGTTTAAAAGTAAATAAATTTTGATGCCATTGAGATCTCCAGCCTCCCCTCCCCCCCCCTCCCCTTGCAATGAACAGAGAAGGGGGAGTGGAGTTAGAACGCTCTAAGAGTTCAATAGTGCCTGTAAGTCCTTTATGGCAGTGTTTTCGATGTGTTGTATGAATGATGAGAAGAGTTCTTCCATCATCCTTGCTGACAGTTATCTGTAATAGGTATCAGACTCTTCAGATTGAAGAAATTACTCTTAGACTTATGTCACAACATTTCCAATCAGACTTTTCTGTAGAGAAAAACAATAACACAGACTTTGTCTTATGTTTAGTTTCAACTTCACTATAGCAATCTGGTCATTGTCACTGTGCCATTAGAGCTTTTCGGTGTTCTCTAAAATAACAGGTGGCTAGTATTTTCCCTAGCTACCTGTTTCTGAAATGCTAGCTACTTTAACTTGACAAAGCAGTACCTTGATCTGAAACAATCTTCAACTTTTGTTCCCCTGGTATTTTTATTTCTGACTACAAAAAATCTCTGAAGAAAACTATCACTTTCCTAAATAGCATATAGCGATCAACCATGAATGTCAACCACTGTGTGCAACCCACAAACTTCAGCCACAAAATTGGAATGCAGCTGAGGAGACCATCTCAGGGCTCAACACTAACTTTTCAACTTACTAGCCAAGTGGATGGTGACACTTTAGATGCTACGACAATGTCAGTTTTTTTACTAGCCAATCTGGCTAGTGGAAACCAAAAACCACTAACCAAAACTGAATTTCTACTAGTCTGTGGCTAGTGGGCTACTGTTAGTGTCGAGCCCTGCATCTAATTTTCCTCAACAGCAACTTCCTTAAACCTTTTCACTCTCAAAAGAGGCCAAGAAGTAATTTCTTCCTACAATATTAAAATGCTGTCAAGAACACAAGGAAAGAAAATAAAGAAAAAAAGCAACTGGGGGATGTTATCTGATTTAACTCAAAATTCTCACAACTAACATTGTAAGAAATGTAAAGAGGACAGAAAGGAGAAGTACTATCAAGATCTTGGCAGTGATTGTTTTAAACCATTTTTCTTGATCCACCAAAACAATCCTCAAGTGCATAAAAACTTTTCCTTGAATTATGATTTCCTTGGTATATTCATTGCTTTATTCAATGCAGCACAGTTTGTTTGTACTCTCTGTAACGTAATCCTGTTAAGGTCAGCTTCTTCTTGTCCTTTTCTAACTGTTGCGTGATAATCAAGTTGTAACATTTCAGAGTCTAATGGAATGGCGTTGACACCTGACGACAAAAGCTTTTCATGTAGGGTGTCGGTCAGCTTTGACAAGCCATCCAAATCCGCTGATTGAAAAAGCCAAAGACTTCATTATTAACCCCTTGACCCTTTGGGAGTGACTATGATCATCTTATTTCTCCCTACCATAAGACCCCTGTCAGCACCTTGGGAAACATACAGAGAACAGTATGAAGAATATGTAAACTGATGTTACATTGTACATGGTTACACACCATCGCTTACTTTGCCTAAAAAAGCAGGGTTTTTTATGTATCCCATACTGTTTACGAGCCTAGTGGCCCATTAGGCCGGTGCTTAACTCCGGTTTCTGTAGCATGAAGCAACTAGGAGTATTTCTACTCCCCCCTGGATGGGATGGTAGCCCATCGCAGGGTTACCCCCAGCATTAAATTTGCCGGTACCCATTTATACACCTGGGTGAAGAGAGGCACTGTGAGAATAAAGTGTCTTGCCTAAGAACACAACACAATGTCCCGGCCAGGGCACGAACCTGGACCACTCGATCCAGAGTCAAGCGCACTAACCAAGAGGCGTGTATCCCATACTATTCTCTATAAATTTCCTTTGGTTACTGACAGGGAGAATTTGTGGAATGATCAAGAACCTCTTTCCTTAGCATTAATTTATTTTATTCTTATGCCCCTAATCTTTGATTCAGTAGGGATATTATAAGGATAAATCAGTTGCTAGTCTGTCTAAGAGGTTGACATGTAAAGTGAATTCTATCTTGATTTTACAAATCCTAACAAAAAAACTGTGAACTGTAAGGGAAGTGGGGGAGTGCATGGTGCACTAGAAAACAGTGTGGTTTCAAAAGGTGACCTTCCTGTGATCTAGCAGCGCCCAGTGGTGTCTGGTGCCTCACTTTTGCTCTCAGGCAACTCAGGAATTTTAGTTTTTTCATACAAAGCACATGGTGGGCACCTGGACTTCACAGTTTCAGAACACTGGGCTCCATTCAATTTTCCTTAGAGCACAACCTTGGTTAGCCCTTCATCATCCACTCTGACAAAGAGCTACAACTCAAACCAACAGCTTTAGAAACTCTCTAGAACAGCTAATTTATATCATCAGCTCTTTTGAAAAAAAAAAAAATTAATTATGTAACGTGACAGTTTAACAAAGCAAGGTTAGTGCTACTTTACACTTTCATGTTCACAACATCTGCCCATTTGTAAAGAAATGATTTTAAACTTACTTTTGGCATCTTCAATAGAATATGACATACCAGACCCCACTTGCCTTAAAAAAAAACATATTTTATGAGTAAATATCACTGATGTGTCAACAGTTAACAACATAAAACTAAAAGGTAAAATCAGTTGCTAGTCTCTCTAAGAGGTTGACATGTAAAGTGAATTCTATCTTGATTTTACAAATCCTAACAAAAAAACTGTGAACTGTAAGGGAAGTGGGGGAGTGCATGGTGCACTAGAAAACAGTGTGGTTTCAAAAGGTGACCTTCCCAATGTTAGCCATGGCTGTGATCTAGCAGCGCCCAGTGGTGTCTGGCGCCTCACTTTTGCTCTCAGGCAACTCAAGAATTTTGGTTTTTTCATACAAAGCATATTCTGGGCACCCTGGATTTCACAGTTTCAGAACACTGGGCTCCATTCAATTTTCCTTAGAGCACAACCTTGGTTAGCCCTTCATCATCCACTCTGACAAAGCGCTACAACTCAAACCAACAGCTTTAGAAACTCTCTAGAACAGCTAATTTATATCATCAGCTCTTTTGAAAAAAAAAAAAATTAATTATGTAACGTGACAGTTTAACAAAGCAAGGTTAGTGCTACTTTACACTTTCATGTTCACAACATCTGCCCATTTGTAAAGAAATGATTTTAAACTTACTTTTGGCATCTTCAATAGAATATGACATACCAGACCCCACTTGCCTTAAAAAAAAAAACATATTTTATGAGTAAATATCACTGATGTGTCAACAGTTAACAACATAAAACTAAAAGGTAAACTATATTATGCCTATAAGCCAAATGACCCATCAGGCTGGCACTTAACTCCAGTTTCCTTAACATCAAGTGACTAGGAGTATTTCTACTCCCCCCTGGATGGGATGCGAGTCCATCGCAGGGTTACTCCCAGCATTAAATTTGCTGGTACCCATTTAAACACCTGGATGAAGAGGGGCACTGTGAGAGTAAAGTGTCTTGCCTAAGAACTCAACACAATGTCCCCAGCCAGGGCCCAAACCTGGACCACTCAGTCTGGAGTTGGGTGCAGTAACCATGAGGCCTCCCAGTATAAAAATAAGGGCAGATCTATTAAACAGTTAGATTATATGCTCACACTTTCTATCATATGATATTTGAACAGGCAAAATTATTTCAATAGTACATTGTCTTAATATGTTTTGGTGTTTATTTACTGGTCAATTAAATCTTAACAACAAGACAGGTTCTAACACAGATTATTTGATAAGTTCGATCATACGCATATTTTGATCGGTTCTTGCTTCTGATCTATTAGAGGGACAGATGCGCAGATGACGTTACCATTAAAAGATTTTTTCTCTCTTACCATATAAAAACCAATACGTTCCATCATGAACATCAGTGACACACTCTGCTGCGTCGTATGTGTCACCTTTTTGTTCCTACCAAATTTTAACATCATCTATGACCGGGAGATGACAAAACGCGGAGCCCTACTCCATGGAGTACCCTATGGAGTACCTTAATGGATTATCCCTAAAAGTCATGTAGTGGTCAAAAAAATTTTTTTAATGAACATGGTGAATCATTTAGATGTACATATCCTAAATAATATTGAGCTTAACAGCTCTCCGAATGTCTCAGTTTGATACAATCCAGTTTTTTGGGGGACAGGTGACTACGGCTCTCAGTCTTACTGGTTCGTCCATTTTGGTTTTACCGCTGTGTAATGAGTCCTTTGATGAGAAGACAAACAACTCCATGTGATGAACAAAACCCACTGTTTCGACTTCTGCACGAGGTAAAATATTTAACCTTACTACATTTCCCAGATCAACAACCCCAGTCGGATTTATTTGCTGACCCGTCACTGATTTTTTTTTCTTTTTTTTGGTTTGTTTGCATACCTCAGTTTTATTGCGCTACAAATAGATGGGTGAGGAGAAGCTCAGTTTAAAGATATGGATTACCATTTTCAGTCTCAACCTACAAAGGTAAGCTTGTATCCTCATCATTTCGCACAATTAAAAAACCCATGAGGCCATCATGTGTTATTATTAGATGGAGCGCCACACTTCTTACAGACGCCACACATAAACATGCAGGTATTTTGGAAGACGTAAATCCCGTTGCAGAATGAAGGTTGTCCGTCCTTTTGGCCTCTTGAAGATTATATGAAAATAGATGGTAGTCGACCTATTAACGATAACGTTCATGGATGCTAGCTACAGTAAAGCTTTCTGTTGGAAGTCGTTAGCAGTTTAATTTTAAATTCAAGATGGCGGTCAATTCATGTACTACATCGAACTGCGACAATCGGAGAGCTGACAAGCTCAAAATAATTCAGGATATGTACATCTAAACGATTCACCACGTTCATAAAGTATTTTATTTGACTAATACATGATTTTTAGGGGTACTCCATCCAGGTACTCTATAGGGTACTCCATGGAGTAGGGCTCCGCGTTTTGTCATCTCCCTCTATGACCTATTACTGAAAAGAGCCCGCGGACAATATAGAACATTTTTGAGCAATAGATAACGAGTAGCATGGCCGATCAGATTACATTATTTGTAATAGGACGGTAGTCTAGTAAATTAAAAGAAGGCTACTTCGTCGACCGAAAACGAACCGTTGCTCGGTCGCAATCGAAGAGTTAATCAGTCCTCTAACAAGTACTTACATTCCAGTGAAAAATTTACTTGCTTGTCGATGAACAGAATCCAAAACAGATTCAAAATCGTTTAGGTTCTTACTAGCAAACGTTTGTCCGGCCGCCATATTGGCCTCGTGTTTGGTTCCATGCGATAAACCGCTGCCAATAAAAAGAAAAAAACGGGAGGGGGGAGAGAGTGCAGTTGGCACTTTTAAAACCTCATTCAGTTTTACCTTCAGGCTGGTTATCTGCAATATTCACTATGAATACTAGGAAAAAACGATAATTTTGAAGTTGATTTTTGTTGGAATTTTTTCCCCAGCCATAAAGAAGCGTTTTGGTAAAGTCATTAAATTCCCTCTCCGTCCCCACCCTGAGGATATTGTCACTGGCAGTACATTATTGTAATATGTTGTGTTAGGTTCTCCTTTGCTCGAATATGTCGCTCTCCCCTGTTGCCATCAAAGAAGCAAATCATCACATTCAAGGTTTGGTGAGCCGTGTTCATGAGCTGGAAGAGCAAGTAAAAGAACTCTCTGAAGCTCTAAAAAAACAAAATGAAGTACATGCCGAGAACTTGAGGGTTCTTCCGCTACGAATGAATCAAACAATGAAACAAAAAGATGAAGAGATACAAGAACTAAAACAGAAACTTAAATCTTCAGAAGCAGTCATAGAGAGGCTCGTTCGAGAGAGTAATTCCCGTGAAGCTTCCCTAGAACACCTGAAGAATCGTTCCAGAGTTTTGGACGAGATCTGCAAGCACCGCGAGGCATTTGAGAGTATTTTGAGTTGTTTGAGTATAATAGAAGACCCTGACGATAGCTCGGGTAAAATATCAGAGAACGGCGTTCCCAGAGAAACAGATTTACTGGACAGTTACGAGGAAGACGAGGACATTAATGGAAATGATCGGAGCGAAAAATCGCACGGGAAACATTGGGACAGCGGAACTGGATCACGGAATTCCTCGTTTTATTATGAAAATTGTAATACAGCACACGAGAAAGGGATGCTACGGGAAGAAAATTCCTCAAGAGATGGTTTTCAGCAAGATGAAGAAAATCCACCTCCTTGTTTTGTATGATGGCCAAACAAACTAAAGGCCCAATGTAAGGTTTTACTAATTAGATTTTATCCCCACAACGATTTATTATTGTATAGTACACTAAATTAACTTAACTTTAGGCCTGATAATTTATTAATTAGTTGAAAAAAATTCGAGCAATGAATGTTAAATGTTCCGGTGTGGACCGAAGGATTGTCATTTAGGAAACTTCTTTGTAATTTTTGATGTTTAATTAGATTCACCAAGTCTTGAAAATACACAAATTTTCAACTTCTCTTAATTACCAATACTTTTCACTGGCAGTTTATTGACTGGTGACAATTTTACAATCCTCAAGGTCTTGCTCACCTTTGGTACAGACAAGGAACATAAAAGAACGTGTTCACTCGTGACATACATTTGTATACTAGAACAAGCATTTTTTAAAGATTTTTAACTCACTGTGCATTCCTTTTCAGATAATCAGTGTCATGTTATATATATAATTAAATAATAGAGGTAGTAGCCTTATGGTCAGTGTGCCAGACTCAAGAGTCAGGAAACCTGGTCAGCTAATTGTGTTGTCTTCTTGAACAAAACACTTTACCTTTACAGTGACTTTCTCCTCCCCGGGGTGTGATTAGATATCAGCAACTAGTCAGGGTAGCAGATGAAATACTGTCAAGGGATATCCTTGCAATGAACTGGCATCCCATCCAGGGGGGAGAAGTAACACCCTTAGTTGCTTTATGCAATGGAAACCAGCATAAGCTCCAGGTGAATGGGCCTTGGCTCAATTACAGACATTACGTTTTATATGAATGTATATTAATATATAAATTCCTACACGCACCTCATGTAATGAGCAGCTCTTTTTTGTGGCAAGTTACATCTACATCGATCTACATAATTTATTTGCAAAATCCTATSAGGACATACAGCAAATTCCAGTGCAAAGTGCAAAGATAAGAATGAATAAATATGTATGCATAGCTAAAGTAATAAGTAATTTCGACTCACTAATTCTAAAATAAAAAGAAATTGGTAGAGCTTAAACTTAAGCAGAGACAAAATTATCCACAGCCACTTTGAAGTTGCTTGGTGAAGTCATCTTAAGGTGACAGAAGGAGTGGAACATAATTAGTGTCGATCAATACATTTTCCTATTTACTTTTTTAAGACATCAATTTATGGTATGTGTATAATAATTTGCAGGTTCTTAAATTTGTTTTTGTAAAATTATAATTATGTTCAATTATTCATCTTGTGAGAATAGTTTGTTATGGAGGTCATTGGAATGGGACAGTGTTTTGCAAGCCCAACTGCAGATTGTGAATCAGTTTTGACACAAGAATTAAATGTTTTAGTATTGGCTAGGCATGGTGTATCGATAAACCTTGCTTTCCACCATAAAACTCCCAATAAAACCCTCGATATATAACAACAAACAACTCAGGAGAATATCATCACCACTGAAAATGATGGCTAACAGCTAATAAACTGTCATCTGTAGAGAAAAAAAACTTAGGGCTTCATTTTAATGAAAATAGTATTCTATATAGACAGAATCCAGTTTCAGAAAATAAGAGAGCAACCTTTTTCTTTTAACTCACTAATCTGTTTTATTTTTCTTGAAAATCCTTAAATTTCTCCACTCTCTCAGGTATGATTCTCAGGCATGCTGTTTAGTGTGGTTGATTTTGACCATAATCTTTAGTTTTCTTACTTGGTGAACAGATCTTAAATCCAATGCAATCTTTGTTTATATAAACTGAAGAATGCATCATTTAAAAGGTGTTCGAAACAGATAACTGACACTAGTATCTGGAACATTTTTTTTTTAAGATGATAGTGGACTGATATTTTTTGTTCTAATAATATACACTCAGCATATTATCAGTATATTCTTATATGGCTGTGTCTCACAAGGACTGGAAACTACCGAATTCACAAATTTGATTGGCTGAAATCAATATTGAAAGCGGTCTAGATTTTCCCATCTAGACCGGCATCTAGACCAGTCTAGAAAAAAAAGGTACAAAGAGTGTAAAAAATTGGCATATAAGACACAGCTATGTAATAAACATCTTATTAACCGAGCTAGGTCGGTCTGTATGGGAGAATCTTGACCTCAATCGCTGGTACAGACCTCACTGAATTCTGTCTGTACTGGCGACCTCAGTCAAGATTCTCCCATACAGACCTCCTGCTTGGTTAAGAAGAACTAAATAATTTTATTTTTAACACCAGTATGTATCAGGTGGTTTGATTCAAAGTGATTTGAAGCCAGGCCGCCTATGGCAACTCCATTTGGTCAGAATGTGATGAAAAAACGATTTTAAGAAAGAGAATGAGGTGGTTTCCAGTAAGAATGTTCTTGTCTAGTTCCCAGGCCTCTGTATATCACCTGGTACTAGGTAAAGAGAGCAGCCATAGTCCTTTCTCCCAATGTGGCCATTTTGAGTCTTGGGGAATAAAGTACTGTTTTTGCACTTCCTACTTGTTCACAGCAAAGCTGAATGTACAATAAGAAAGTTACATTTCTAGGGACTCAATATAGCTGCCACCTGATAAAGCTGTCCTCATCCTACTCTAATGACCACAGTCACGTAGAAAATATGCAACTCTGTTCTGTAAATATCAGGTTAAAAATCCCTGTCTCTTTCAAAGTGTGCAGTTGCAAAATAGATCCATAGCCCCAATACTGAGTACTTCAGGTTGGACCCTCCCACCTCCCCCCCTCACCCAAAATCTTCCCAAGCAGTCAACAAATAAATATATACTGAAAATGTACCACGTTTTAGCTTTCACAACTACAAAGATCTTGTTTGCCTTAAAGAAAGTACGTTTAGGGCCGAGCGTTTAATGTCATGTGCTCCTCGGAGTGATGTCGACTCGGGCTGACATTGCACTTATGTACCGTGCCGCGTAACATGCAATACAAAACATGCACACCTTTACCTTAGGCAGTCATGCCATTACATCCCTCTCCCCCTTACATTAGTAACGAGTGATCTTGGTCACTAATAAAGTCTTTGTACTTGGTGACCTTGGTAGACATGGTTTTTCTCCAGGGCCGGTCGCGTATCGCCCATCTTTGTTCTGTGTCGTCGCTATCATTGGGCCGCTCTGCGCCTTGTAGGCGGTCCCCCGCTACGGCTTAGTCCGGATGTAAGGAATCCTCATCGTATGCGTCGTCAATTGAGGCTGGTTGCCTGCACCCGTTTTTAATTAAGTAACTTCCAATCCGCGTAGTTCTTGGTCCGAATTTTCTGGTAGTTCTTAGTGGTGATCATGTCTCTTTTGATGCAAATGACCACTATCGGGACCGGGTCGAATAGAGGCGTCAGGCTGTTCTTCCTTTCTTGCTTGCATAAGCCTGTGTCTCCCACTTTTATCCTCATCGCAGCGGTGTGTCCTCTTTTATCGGCATATCTCTTCATTTTCTCCTTTTGTGCTCGGTCACGCTTACGGACCGTAGCCTCGTCTGGTTGCACAGGTCGTCTTCTCGGATCTCGGAGATTTCCACCCTACATAATGCCTGGTACAGAAGATTCTAGTGCAGGACTACTTCCACTTCAAGCTCAAACGGCCAATAATCTGCCTCCGCGGGAAAAATTCAGCGGAGCAAATTCACCACAACAAGCTGATCTTTGTTCGAAATGGTTTCCTCGTTTCGAAAGATATCGGATTGAATCTGGCCTCAAACATAAACCAGACATCGAGCAAGTCGGAACTCTACTCTAAAAATTATTCTTAAAACCCTAAATATCGATGAAGAACAAGCTTCGTACGAGCAGGTGAAAACAGCCCTTAACGAGCACTATGAAATCCGTCGCAACGTGCTGGTTGAGCGCGCCAAATTCAATAAAAGAGTCCATAAACCGGGAGAACCTGTGGATTCGTTTATACAAGACCTATACAGACTCGCGGATGACTGTGAGTATGGTTTACTAAAAAATGAACTTATTCGTGATAGAATAATTGTCGGAGTGTTAGACGATGCACTTTTTGATCGACTTCAATCGAAATTGAAGCTAACATTGAAAGAAGCAGTTCAAATTAGTAGACAGGCAGAAGCCAGACAACAAAGTAGAGAGGTTGTACGGGGAAGTACACTAACTAGCACATGAGGAGAGATCCACCATCTTGATTAAAAAATGTCGTTCTGTTGACATTTATATTTGTCTCGTCCTGCGTCTTCCTATTATATTACAGTTCCCGCCATAAGTTTATTCGGGCTAGCTCCAGTGGTTGGGTGTACAGTTGCTCTGTATGCTCTGGTCCCCCTACGCACCTCGTTACGTAGCGGTCTGCCCTGTAATGTGGCGATTCTTGCTGTTTTGTTAATTCTCTGCATACACCTTTCTACATCGCTGTTGGCTTCCGGCCATCCAGGGTCACTTTTCGATGCTTGAGGCCTTCCTCTCGCGCGTATTCTTGAAACTTGTGGCTGTTAAATGGTGAGCTGCTATCCGATTTATCCACTTCCGGTAATTCGTAGGTATCGAATACCCTTCTGTACACAGGGATGGTTGCTTTTTCACTGGTGGATCCCACAAACTCAACCACCGAGTATCTGGAGTATTGGCAGTGAAACATGAGGGCGAGGTCTCCGTTTGCCAGAGGTCCGCAGAAGTCCACACTGACCTTCCTCCATGGTCCCTCTGGTAGCTCCGTCATTTTCAGAGGTTCTCGGTGTACGTCAGGTGTGTTGGATTGGCAGTAAACGCATGTGGATACAGACTTGTCACGCAGAGAGTCCATCCCCGGGAACCACACGTGTGCCCTCAGTAGCTGTTTTGTCCGTACCTGTCCTTGGTGCCCCTCGTGCGCAATCTCGACCATCCTCTGTCTTAGTGTTTCGGGTGCGACAATTCTGTCCCCTCTCACTACTATCACGTCGACTACAGCGAGTTCACTGAAAACATGCTTGTACGCCTGTAAGTTCTCAGCCTTTGCGTTAATCCAGCCTTGGTGAATGCACCCCTTTAAAGCCAGTAGTGTAGGATCTTCGTCGATGGCTTTCTGCACTTGCTCCTTAGTGACTGCGTTTGGCGTGTTGTTCGTTCTAACGTGGTTCACGTATTGTTTCACTTCCTTGATGGTTTTGAGTTCGGGCTTGGTGCACGTCTGGTGTGGCATAGGGTATCGTGATGTGTAATCCGATGTGCTTTCCTTTCCAGACCTATATTCCACAAAGTCGTAATCCAACATCCTGTTCACGATCCTCTGCACCCTGATGGACGTTTCATGTGTGGGCTTGTTGAATACACTTTCTAGAGGTTTGTGGTCCGTCACCATCTTAAACGGTGTTCCATACAGGAGTAGATGGAACTTTTTGCTACCAAATCACCCGCTCAGGCTTCTAGTTCGATCTGGCTACACCGTTTTTCAGTATCGGTGAGACTGCGACCAGCGTACTGCACAACTTGCCACACTTATTCTCCCGGCTTTCTCTGAGTGAGAGTGGCTGCCAGTCCCGTCGGACATCCGTCCACGTGGAGTCCGTGTTCCGCTTGGGGGTCATGTAGGCTTGTACCGTGTCACTTCTGAGCATGTTCTTCAGTTGTTCAAATGCCTATGTGTGCTCTTGCATCCATTCAAATTTTACATTTAGTAGTTCCCCGAGTTTGCAGACTGCTTTCTGATACTTGCTGGCCTCCATAAACCGTGAGCTATATCTAACTTTGCACAGAAACGAGTTAAGTTCCGCTTCATTCTTTGGTCGGCCCACCTTCTTGATAGCCCGTACCTTGCAAGGGTCTAGGGATACTCCTTTCTTTGAGAACATCAAGCCATAATAGACCACGCGTTCTTTGTTGAATTCGCATTTTCCTTTATTGAACGTGACATTCTTTTCGCGACTTTTCTTTAGGAGCGCCTCCAGGTTTGAGTCATGTTCCTTTTCGTCACGCCCATGGACAATGGTGTCATCGCTAATGTTGAAGACACCTTTGAGGCCTCGTGTCAACTCCTCTCTGATGGTCTCCTGGAATATCTCGGCGGCTGACCGCGTACCATAGTTTAGCCTCTTGTATCGGTATAAACCGATGTGCGTCGAGAAGTTCGTTGCATTTCTCGAACTCTCCTTGAGCTCTAGTTGGTGGTATCCCTTGGACATATCCAAGTGTGAGAATACAGCGGACCCGCTTAGCTCGTTGACAACGTCGGCTATCGTGGGGTGTTGTTGGGTGTGTCTGCAGGGTATTGCTTGGTTTGCCACGCGCATATCTACGTCCAGGCGAATCTGGCTCTGATCCTTCTTGGGAGTGACCACTGGTAGTGATACCCATCCCATTGGCTAGTTAACTTTTTCAATGATGTTTTGGTCCAGAAGGTGTTGTATTTCTTTTTCCAGTTTCTCCCGTACGCTAAATGGTTGTCAGCGTGGTGGCTGTGCGACGGGTTTACATTCAGGGTCAACATTTAAATCAACCAGGATGTCTGTTAGCTTCCCAATTCCTTCGAATCGATCTTTGTATTCTTCCAAAAGTTCTTTGACGTGGCTCACGCCTTCTGATTGTTTGGCCTCTTCTGAAATTGCATTGCTCGCAAGTATCATTTCCAGGTCCTTTCCGTCCTCATAACTCAGCAACGGTGCTGTCTGGGTATCTCTCTTTATGAGCTGCCAGGTGACCACCTTCATTTTGGTCTTAGATTCTGTGATCGCCTCAAAGCTGCTCAGTACGGGTAAGAAGTTTGCCTCCTTGACTGCCCCATACGGCTTTATCTGGCATCTTGATTTTTTTATCTTACTTTCTCTTCTAGGCCGTATCTCCTAAAGGTTGCCTCATCCATGGCACTGACTGTAGCCCCGCTGTCCGGTAACACCGTCACACTGACGCCGTTTATTAGTACTATTTTTAGTGGCCTTTTATCAACTGGATACGCTATCTATTACTGATGCTCCTGCTTCTCCATTGTTTGACAACGCCATAATTGCATGTGAACTAAGCGAATTTTCTCGCACCACAGAGGATGGACTTTCTGGTCTTTGCTGCCAAATCGTGTTCTCTTGATCCTGTACCGCCTTCTCTTTTACGTTACTGTATTGAAGATCTACTACCTATTATTAAAAATGTCGTAAACCTTTCATTTAATTCAGCTTCAATGCCAAGTTCCACAACAAAAATGCAGTGTTGTCTCCTCTGCTGAAGAAACCGTCCCCAGACGGATGTTACTAAAAATGATAACAAGGAACGGGGAAAGGGGAACGGGGAACGGAGAACGGGCAACGGGGAACGGAGAACGGGCAACGGGGAACGGGGAACGGGAAGCGAGGAGCAGGGAACGGGGAAAGGGAACGGGGAACGGGTGTACAGCGGTAACCCGCCTGAGAATTCAAAATGGCGAAGTAAAGTTCCCCGTTCCCCGTTCCCCGTTCCCCGTTCCTCGTTCCCCGTTCCCCGTTCCTCGTTTCCCGTTCCCCGTTCCTCGCTCCCCGTTCACCGTTCCTCGTTCTTCGCTCCCAGTTCCCTGTTCCCCGTTACCAGTTTTAGTAACATCCTTGAAAAAGTTGCAGCCAGACGTCTCACGAATTATATGTCTGACAATCATCTTACTGAGTCTTCAGTCTGCTTACAAGAAACATAGTTGTGCAACAGCCCTTCTACCTGTTCAAAATGATATTCTGAAATCAATCGATGATAAATAATGTGTTGTTCTCTTGCTGTTAGACCTATCAGCAGCCTTCGACACCGTCGACCATAAGGTCCTATTTCACAGACTGCGTTCCACGTTTGGTATAAAAGGTAAAGCACTTTCGTGGCTTCAGTCTTATCTTACGGAGCGTTCCCAGTTTGTTCAGATTGATGGATTTACTTCCTCAATTCGTCCACTCAGATTTGGCGTGCCCCAAGGGTCCGTGTTGGGTCCGTCACTGTATCTCTTGTACACGGCCCCACTAGGTGACCTAATAAGATGCCATAACATAGACTTCCATCTATATGCTGATGACACTCAACTATACACCACCTTCAGTTGCGAT